CCCAATTCTTGTATCATTGCTAAAATTCACTTCACTATGTTATAATCATTGAACATATTGTTGTTATTATTATGGACACATTATGTTATCTTTTAGATGAATTAAGAATAAGAAAAATAACCCTGGCTGGTGTGGCTCAGTTGGCTGGAGCAAGCAACATCCCACAGATCAAAAGAGGGTCATGGGTTCGAATCCTGATCAGGGCACATACCTAGGATGCAGGTTCAGTCCCCAATAAGGGCACATCCAAAAGGAAACTGATCAATGTTTCTCTCTCACATCAATGTTTTTTCTCCCTTTTTCTTTCTCTAGTATTGTTTCTTTTTTATAACATAGATCCAAGTTTCTGGCCTATACAATTTTCCTTCTCTGAAAAATGTCCTTTAACATATCCTGCAAAGTAGAACCACTGCCAACAAATTCTCGCAAATTTTGTTTACATAGGTATAAGAGAGAGTTCAGTCTGACCCCATCTTGTTTGGGCTTTCTTTGTTCTCATAGCCTTCAGGCTAATACCTCCTGCTTTGGATATGCTAATTATAGAGGAATTCTGTTCAGTGCTTAAGTTTTTACAAAACAGCCCCTCCCATTTTCCCTTCCCTTGATTTAAAAGAAACCTGAACTTTGTGCTTGCCTAAGACAGATTTCAGAATTTGCAAGCACCTCCATCTTCTTGAGCTGGTGCCTCTCAATCAATAAACTTGTCCTTACTCTAAACTCTGACATTTTGAATACTGCCTTTTTAAAGCTGTGAGCACGCAAAGTTTTAGACTGGTAACATAATTCTTTATTCTCATTCACTTCTGAAGGATAATTTTGTAAGATACAGAATGCTAGATGGTTGGGGGTTTTGTCTCAAAGTTTAAACACAAAACACTTAACTGTTCTTGTTTGCATGGTTTCTGAGGTAAGATGTTATTCTTACTTTTGCTTCTCCATAGATACAGTGATTTCGTCCTCTGTCTCTGTCTTCTTTCAAGATTATCTATGTGTTTGATTTTCTGTACTTTGAGGACCTTTTTTTTTAAAGATTTTATTCATTCATTCATTCATTTATTTAGAGAGAAGGGAAGGTAGTGAGAGGGAAAGAAACATCGATTGGTGGTTGCCTCTCATGTACCCCCTATGGTGGGAAGGCCTGGCCCACAACCCAGGCATGTGCCTTGACTGGTAATCAACCGGGGACTCTTTGGTTTGCAGATCGGCACTCAATCCACTGAGCCGAGCCAGCCAGGAATATGATATGCCTAACTGAAGTTTTTTGGAAACATAACTGTCTTTGGTGTTCTCCGAATTTCCTGGATCTGTGACTTGAAATCTGACATTAATTTGGGGAAATTCCCAATCATTATTGCTTCACATATCTCCTCTGCTCTTTTTTACTCTTTCTTCTTCTGGTACTCTGATTATGCATACGTTATGCTTTCAGTAGTTGTCTCATAGTCCTTGAGTATGTTATCTTCTGGGGGGGGGGGGTTCCCCTTTAGTCATTTTCCTCATTGATTTTCATGTCAATTGACCATCTGTATGTCCTATTTGGAGAAATGCCTATTCAGGTCCTTTGCCCTTTTTTTAATGGGATTTTTTTTTGGTGTTGAGCTTTATAAGTTCTTTAAAAATTTTGGATGGTAACCCCTTATCAGGTATATCATTGGCAAATATGTTCTTCCATTCAGTGAAGTGTCTTTTCATTTTGTTAATGGTTTCCTTTGCTATGCAAAAACTTCTTGGTTTGATGTATTCCCATTTGTTTATTACTTTTCCTTTTGTTTCCCTTACCCAAGGAGATATATCAGAAAAAATATTGCTATGAGAAATGTCCAATATTTTACTCCCTATGTTTTCTGCTAGGATTTTGTAGTTTTCAGTCTCACATTTAAGTCTTTAATCCATTTGTGTTTATTATTGTGTGGTGTAAGGTGGTCTAGTTTCATTTTTTTTGCATGTATCTATCCAATTTTCCCAACATCATTTATTGAACAGACCATCTTGAGCCCTTTGTATGTTTTTGCCCCCTTTGTCAAATGTTAATTGACTATAAAGCCATGGGTTTATTTCTGGGCTCTCTAATCTACTCCATTGATCTCTGTGACTGTTTTTATGCCAGTACCATGCTGTTTTCATTACTACAGCCTTGTAGTATAGTTTGATATCAGGTAGCCCAATTCCTCCAACTTTGTTCTTCTTTCTCCAGATTGCTGTTGCTATTTGGAGTCCTTTGTGGTTCCATGTAAATTTTGAAATATTTGTTCTAGTTCTGTGAAATATGTCACTGGTATCTTGATAGGAATTGTATTGAATCTGTTTATTGCTTTAGGTAATTAATATAGGCATTTTAATGATGTTAATTCTTCCCATCGATGAACACAGTACATGCTTCCACTTACTTGTATCTTCCTCAATTTCTTTCTTCAATGTCTTATAATATTCTGAGTACAGGTCTTTTACATTCTTGGTTCAACATATTCCTAGGTATTTTATTCATTTTGAAGCAATTGTGAATGGGATTGTTTTCTTAGTTTTCCTTTCTGATAGGTCACTACTGGCATATAAAAATACAACTAATTTCTGGATATTTATATTATATCCTTCTACTTTACTGAACTCATTTATCAGTTCTAATAGTTTTTTGGTGGACTCTTTAGGGTTCTCTATGCACAGTATCATGTCATCTGCAAATGTCAGTTTCACTTTTTCCTTTCCAATTTTGATGCCTTTTATTTCTTCTTCTCTGATTGCTATAGCTTGGATTTCCAGTAGTATATTGAATAAGACTGGTGAAAGTGGACATCCCTGTCTTGTTCCCGATCTTAAGGGGAACTCCTGATGGTACAGCTTAAGAAAAACAGAATGCCCTGGCATATTTCCAAATGGTTACCTTCCCCTCCCCTATAGAAATCACTAGAGGATTTTTCTCTGATACTCACTGTGAAGATGTGGAGGTAAAACCATGAAAGTGTTGCAGTCCCCTATTACTGGGTACCCTAGAGTTTTTAACTCATTACACTTTAGATTTTCCTACCTAGTTCTGGTTCCCTTAGAGGTTTCCACTCCTGGGTTTCTGCTAGGGTAAGCAGTCATTCTCTGTATTCACCTGTCTCTCCAATTTGTGTGTGTGAGCTGGGAGGGGAGGAGGAGCAGTTTGCTTTGTGACCTTACTTCTTTGACATTCCTAAGATTTGTTGATTTTTTAGTTTGTTCAGTTTTCTACTTGTTGTTAGAACAAAGCAATAATTCCTAAAAGCTCCTTACATGGTGAACTGAAAGCCACATAAGAAAATCTCCATTATCATCTTTACTAATTGATAAAGTGATAATTCTATAGTATTGAGATGAAAAATGCAAATCTGAATTTGTCTCAATGGCACGCAAATTGCCTAAAATATGATTAATCATAGTGTTTAGTCTATACGTAATGCTAAAGTGCAAGTTATTAAATAATATACTTCATCCTTTCTGAAGCCATTAAAACATGTGGACAATCAAATATTGTAGAAATCATTATTACAAACTAATATATTTCCTAAATAAACACCTAAATATTGAACTTCCATTAAGGACTTAAAAAAATCAATCAGGGAATACTGCAATTCACTGGTTACCTTTAGTGCTCAATTAATTTGTAGAAAAATAAAGCCTGTTTCTTAGTTCCTAAAATAGCATTATAATCCCATCTAAATTAATTTAAATTTTAAAATTCTTCCTCTGGATGAAAAAAATTAGTAGAAAACAAAAACCTGTACGTGAAATTTGATATTTGGGTGCCAAATTCCCAACATTTGCTATAATCAGGGAATTAACCTGCATCAAACTTAATTTCCTTAGGACATCTTTATCTACCATAGAGTGCTGTGTGTTCTTATAGCAAGAAATAGTTAAAATTTTTTCAATATCACACTGTAAAACAGCTCATTACTTCTTTTTTATATTACTAACTTAAATTTTATTCAACTGGGTTTTATCATATTAACCAAAAGCATGCTGCTTAAATAAGATGAACACATCTAATTCACCTGAAGGAATTTCAAGTATGTTGCAAAAAAAGCCTCCAAACATAGCAAAAATGAAAGAATGGCCAAACCCAGGGAACATATTAGTATTACTTCATTTTACACATATGTAAATTTTATTATTTCCACATTTGTGATGCATTAGGTACAATAGACATTTCTGAGCCCTTTGTACAGTGAACAGATGGTGTACCATTACAAAATTAGGAGCTAGGGTAACATCCTAAGCTCCTAATTTAAGTCATAGCTACAGACTTAAATAATTTTCCTACATATATAATGAGAAATTAGAGTGAGATACTTGTACATGGAAGATGATTTGGGAATGGTCACAAAAAGAACTGGGAAATGTGACCTCAGTAACAAGTGAAATATATAAAAGCTCCTAGAAAAAAGATTAATCAGCCTCAAAAAACAGTTGTCAAATAAGAATAAAGAGGGATACTTGTGAAATATAGAAAAGAATGCTCTAAAAAAATTCCATGCTTAATCTGCTAAATATAAAATATATTCCTGAGACCCCAAAACAAAGTCAATATCTAAGTATTAAAACTGAGACTTAGTATTTGAAATAATTTCTAGCTAAAGTAATAACCAATAAAATTAATCCAATTATGTCAGTTCACAAGAGATAAATAAATGAAAACATCAAAAGCAAAAAACAAAAAAATTAAGAATTAGTCATATGGGGTGGTTACATATGTAAAAATAAACTATTCAGATAAGAATGGCTATGTAAAAAAGACAGGAGAGCATAGCAAATAAAGCACAGAATGTAGACCTGCTCCAAAAAAGTCATGTTTAGAAAGTCAGTGTATCATATCTAGAACTGGAATAATGTCTCAGTAGAATCTTTTGAGAAAATGATACACCGTCAATAAATAATATAGTGTTTTCTATACCCAAAGAGAAAAGTTTCCTAATTTTTAAAAAGAAAACTGTGATTTATTAACAAAGTTATTTCAATATAAACTGTGAAAAATGTCTTACCTTCATTCCCCTAGAACATATGAAACTGACGAAATCACGTATTTCCAGAGAAAGATATTATTGCTTGAATCTGGGTCACTGAAATTATCAACTGTTCAAATGAGACAAAGGAAAGGGGTAACATTAATTATCAATAATTATACATTTTCTTTGTTGACATATCTCATATAAAACCTCGTAAGGCCATTCAAATGAGATACTTGTCTCTAGGTTTAAGTTCTCCAGAGATAGCTCCTTTGAAACAAAGACTGGACAAATAATTAACTCAAATTATTTAAAAATTCTTGATCACGCAGTGTCTACAGGGGTGTTTTTAAAATTTAAAAAAAAATGTCCTTGTTATGTACCATTATAATCTCCCTTAAAATTTTTTCCTCTAAAAAATCCTGGCTGGTGTAGCTCAGTGGATTGATCACAGGCCTGCGAACCAAAGGGCTGACAGTTCGATTACCAGTCAGGGCACATGCCTGACTTGTGGGCCAAGTCCCCAGAAGGGGGTACGCAAGAGGCAACCACACATTGATGTTTCTCTCCCTCTTTTTCTCTCTCCCTTTCCCTCTCTCTAAAAATAAATAAATAAAATGTTTAAAAATTTTTTTCCTAAAAAAGAATATTAAAGTTCAGAAAAAGAGGGTGCAGCAGGACAGGGAGGGGAGAGGACATGAATATCCAAACAGCTTTAAGGTTTGCATATTCAAGGACAAAAAGCATGCCCCACACCAGATCATATTTACAGTTCCTCATCTAGAATTCAACTAACATACAACTGCAGTAATCAGCCAAACTTAGTAAATTAAAATAACAGTAATTTTGACAGATTACCTTCTATAAATATTCAAATATGGACATTTGTGTGCATGCAAGGGTCTCTCTCTATATGCCAGTCAAAATGCTTTGGTTTTTTTCACCCTCTTTTCCATAGGAATCCCCTGAATTGTTAACTTCCATGTTAACTCTTTCACCTCACCTTATAAAAGACCAATCATTTCTCTATTTATAGCCTGAATTATTATTCATTGCCTGAATTAAAAATTTACGGATAACATCCATATAAAGAATCAACAGACAAAAAGAAAGTACCTAGGATCTTTGAAAATCTATCTGTAAAGACGAAAGTAAAGGTAGAAGAAGGGGGCAGAGAAAGGATCTTGAAGGGTGGTAACTCAAAAAGAGATTAACTTTTTATTTATGCAATCAGGTATGCCTTGAGGTATAGTAAAATCCAAATGCAAAGAACAGTTAACATCTTCATAAATTTGGGCTGTATTCAACGTTCCATTAAAATAGACTACCACCCTGGCTGGTGTGGTTGAGGACTGAGCACTGGTCTGTGAACCAAGAGGTCACTGATTCAATTCCCAGTCTGGGCACATGCCTGGGTTGCTGGCCAGGTCCCCAGTTGAGAGCATGAGAGAGGCAACCAATGTTTCTCTCACAGATGTTTCCTCTCTCCTTCTCTCTCCTTTCCCCTCTCTCTAAAAATAAATAAATAAAATCTTTTTTTAAAAAAGACAGACTACTATTTATTTGGCTCAAGGTAAGACTTTATACTTTCAATAACAAGTTTAAATATATAAAAGTGTCAAAAGTGGGGAATACATTTATAGTTGATACTTACATAACATGGGTTTGAACTACATTGGCCCACATATATGCAGAGTTTATTCAATAAATACTGTAAGTGTAGTTTCTCTTCCTTATGATTTTGTTGATAACAGTTTCTTTTCTCAAGCTTACTTGATTGTAAGAATATAATATATAATATATATAACATAAAATCTGTATTAATCTACTGTTTATGCTGTCAGTAAGGCTTCCAGTCAACAGTAGTTAAGGTTTGGGAAGTTGAAGTTTTATGCAGATTTCTGACATTGTTCAAGGGTCAACTGTAATATGAAATTCAAACCAAATACAATTTTTAATCCATAGTCTGTTTAATCCAGGTAAGACATCTGATGCATGAATTTGCTCATGTCCTTCTAACTTATTACCTGTTGGTCAGTTTCCCTTAAACATATTCACAATTATTGAAACTCAGCATCCAGGATAACATCTAAATTATGGAATAAAAGTGAACTTATTCAGAGGCATATGCCCTTCTATTCCCACCTGGAAAGAAATAACTGTTAATACCTCTACTAAGATTGCTCAAAATATTTCTAGAAATTTAGGCAGGCCTGCAAGAAACCCTTACTTTATGATTGTTACTGTAGGTAGTTAACTAGTTATTAATAAGAAAGAGAGCAAAGGGAATTAGCTATTGAGTTTAATAAACCAGAGAGCATAAGCCTGCTTGCTTAGCCAGAAAGCTACAGCATTTACAGATTCACACAATCCAGGGGACTGCCACCAAGGAGACAATCCTCAGAACACAGAAAATCTCCCCAACAGCACCGTCACCCTCTGGTACCAGATTGTTGGTGGGCGCAGGGAGAAGTGCTTGACCATAGAGGCCTGTCAGTCAAACTAGGGGGTGTGGACCCATCATAAATTCATAAAAGCTTAGGAAGTTGATTTATTTTGAAAAAGCTCCTGGTTATAACCCCAGGGGAACAAAGAAGCATGCTCGCGTGCTCTCTCTCTCTCTCTCTCCCCCCTACACTCACCCTGTGTGCTCACATGTTCTCTCTCCATAACCCTGTGGCCCCAGCAGACTCTAAACACAGGCCCCAGGTGGGAGCCTAGACACAGCAGCACAGCTGGGAACACAGGCTAAGCTAGCCAGATGATGAGAAAGACTGGACTGAACTGGCCTTGGTATGCACAGGATCTCTGGATACTGCCTCTATTTCTGGCCCTGATTTTCCATGGTGGGATGGATAGAAATGGGACATTGGGAACCCAGGAGAGGCACTCTTTTGATTTTGAATCAAGTACCCAAATAAATCTTATCACCAGACCTCATCCTCGCTTGTGGGTCCCCAAAAATGCTTTTTCTCACGACACCACAAGGACTCCACTTCCATCAGCAGCATGATCATTCACCAGTCAACCACCCAAACCCAGTTCCAAAGTGTATCCAAGCCAGACCAGTGGTTCTCAAAGCAGGAAAGGGAGAAGAAAAGTCTGCTCTAGGGTCCAATAGCTTCAGCTTTCCCTGAGGGCTTATTAGAAATGCGGAATCTTTGGCCCTATCCAGGGACATATTCACTCAGAATCTGCATTTTAACGAGATCCCCAAATAATTCACATGCACATTCAAATCTGAGAAGCTCTTAAGAAGAATATATTAGAATGGGAGAGAGGGTATAATCTGTTCAAAGATTGGTTCCCACTGAAGGCCACTGTTTAGCCACTAAGCAACCAATTTTTAACCTCTGGTTTATAGCACCTTTATCCCTACCACAATTTTTTTCTTTATTTTTTAAACAAAGAATCTTGAAAAACAGAAACCCCTTGTGACCCCCAAAAAATGTGTATCTAATAACTAAATTGCAGGTCCCAGGAAAGGGCATGACAGAGTAACCTAACAGCAAGTGGCCCTGTCTCATGCCCCCAAATCATATTAACTAAACTAGTTAATTTTAAAATAATAATAACCCCTCTCATTCCAAATGCTAGACACTAAGAACATGTGGGATCCCAGTGGCTAAAAAAGAGACCAAAAAACCCAAAGCCTATGCCTTTGTGTAAGCAGAGAGGAGAATGCTGTTAAGTGCTGGTTATTCAGTTATTGTCTCTCAGCTCCAAATTCACCCTTTAATACTCATCTCAGTAATGCTAAAAATAGCAGTCTGGAAATGATTTTTCTCTTTTACCAGCTAGTTTTCTCATACTGCCAATAAGGGCATTAGAAGGAGAAACTCACTTTTTCCACTAGGCAGAGCCCTAACATACACCCTCAATCCCAATAACGACAGTGGTGACAGCCACCAGTGTTTTATGGCACTTTCAGAAGTACTCCTCAGAAGTATCAGCAACATCCAAGCTGTACCCCTCCAAAGGTTTTGAGCCTCAAATCTACTCCAAACTCTTCTTTGTTCCCTGGCCCTATAGGTGGTTGCTGCTTTCTGCAATTATTTCCTGTTATTCCAGTGTTCCCCTTTTGCTTTTTTAAGCTCTCCAACACCTATATAACCCGTTGCCCATATTAAATTTTCTTGGTATATCTAGTATGGATTATTTCCCTGTCCAGAGTCTAACTGATACACATCATGGGTGGATGGAATAAAATGCACCATGATCTTGTACTTTGGAAAACTATTTCTCTGAAACATGATCATCCATGAGAAAAAATTTACTTCTTCTCCCCTAAAATATAGGTGCAAGAAGGGAAATGTATGCAAAAAATAAAGCTGAGAAAGAAGGAAGATGGAACACAACCTAAGGAAGTAATATATTGAAAAAAATCCCATGGTAGAAAACATGTTAGCCTCCAAAAACATAAAGAAAAGGCCAAGAAAAAGTGTGAAACAAATAAGTTTCTCCCTTAAATAATAGAAAAATCAGAGTTTGAGAAGTACAAGGAACTTTATTCTCCTGCCACTGTCAGTGTTTAGTTTGCTAAAGCAGTTTATTACTGAGTTTGAGTTAGTATACTTTCAGGAAACTGTTGAGAAATTAGGGAGAACCCAAAGATCTCAAAAATGATGAAAGCAACAGAGAACAGGATACCCGAAGAAAGGTTCAATGAGTCACACGTTGTAGTCCAATCAAATGAAAAGAAAACTTCAAACCAAAAAATAACTGCCTCCCAGTTTAAGAGTTCTGACCAACTATGCTTCATCATCCCTGTGGGTGTTTAAAATGATGGATGATAAAGTAAATAAAAATATTAGTGACTGTCTTCAAAATCACTAAAGCAGTAGTAGCTCTTCATGCTGTTTACACATAAGAATGACCTAGGATATTTTTTACAAAAATAATGATGATGTTGATAATGATGATGCTCAGAACACTAATGCCAGAGACCTAATTTAACTGGTCTGAGATGAAGCCTAGGCATATTTTTTTTAGAAAAACAAAACCAAAAAATACCCAAGTGTTTATACTGTACTGACCAAAGGACTGAGAACCACTTAATGGAACATGCCATAACTTTACTACTCAAGGTATGGTCTAAGGACTACCTACATCCAGATTACCTGGAGA